GGGGGGGGGTCGCAGTCCGGGGGTTCAATATCAACTTTTGTCGGCGGCGGGGTCTCTGTGGCGCGAGGTTTTCATGGTCTCCAGGTACTCCTGCTGCGACACCGCCAGCACCGACGCCAGGATCTCGTCGTCCTCCCAGTCGTTCAGGCCTGGAGGGGGGAAAAAAAAAACCCAAAAAAAATTTTTTGGAGAGGGGGATGTAGTAGGGATATGAGGAAAAAGGGTTTGAACCCCCCCAGACCCCGCTGAGGTATCAGGAATGAGGTCAAGTTGAGGTGGGGTTGGAGGTTGACATCCCCACGAGGTTAAAATCGCCCAAAATGACCCTAAAACCATCCTAAATGATGCTAAATCCTTCCCCAAATGACACTAAACTGACCCCAAAAAGACCCTAAATCTCACCCAAAACAACCCTCAATTCCCCCACATGACCCTAAATCTCCTCCAAAATAACCCTAACACTCCCAAAACAACCCTAAAACAATCCTAAAACCCCCAAAATGACCCAACCCTCCCCAAAACAACCCCAAAACAATCCTAAAACCCCCAAAATGACCCAACCCTCCCCAAAACAACCCCAAAACAATCCTAAAACAATCCTAAAAATCCCCAAAATTACCCTAAACCCCCCAAAACAACCCTAAACCCCCCCAAATGACCCTAAACCACCCCAAAACGACCCCAAACCACCCCAAAACGACCCTAAACCTCCCCAAAATGACCCCAAAACAACCCTAAACTGCCCCAAAATAACCCTAAACCGCCCCAAAACGACCCCAAACCGCCCCAAAACCTCCCCTCACCCCGAATTTTTCCCCTGGGGCGCTCACCGAAGGCGGTTGGGGACATTTGTTGCATGAGGGCGCGACATTCCAGCGCGGGGTACAGGGACACCAGCGGGGGGGTGGCCCGGCCCCCCCCTGCCCCCAGCTGGCTGCTGGTCCCTGCAGGGGGGAGGGGACAAATTTGGGGTTTAGGGACCCTCCCCAAATTAAAATCGGTCCTTGTTTTGTTATAGGAATGGGTTTGGGGTGATAGGAATTATGCAAATCCCGGTTTGGGGTGACAGGAATTCCACAAATCCCAGTTTGGGGGGTCCCGATATCCCCCAATCCCAGTTTCAGGTCATGGTAATGCCCCAAATCCCAGTTTGGGGTGTCCCAATATCCCCAAATCCCAGTTTGGGGTATCCCGATATACCCCAAACCCAGTTTGGGGTCCCCAGTGTCCCATTATCACCCAGCACCCCATACCCTCCCAGTAACCCCAGTTTGGGC